AGTAGCTTGGAAGTAGGGAGAGGGAGAAATAAATAGTGAAATTGGAGCTATAGTTTACATATTTAAGTTGTTAGGGTGCACTTTTAGCCATTAATTGTAACTTATTTAGCACTTTTTATAGTTAAGCACTACTTTTAAGATTTCACATGCATGAATTCATTTATTGCTCAAAATAACCTTAATGGGTAGCTGCAGTTATAATTATCCCCATTTTATAAATGAAACAACGGAGGCACAGAAAGGCTAGGAAATCTGCTTAAAGTTCCACAACTAGTAATGGCGAGGTTAGACTTGAATCCAGAGTCTATGCTCTTAAACTGTAGATTACACCACTTCTGTTGATTAAGAAAACAGGGACAGGAATGAAAGCCTTTGAGTCTGATGTTTGGGGTTTTTTTTTGTTTGTTTGTTTGTGTTTGGTACCGGGGATCGAACTCAAGTCCTTGTGCTTGTGAGGCAGGCAACAGAACCACTGAGCTAAATCCCCGGCCCCTGCGAGTCTGGAGTATGCTGGAGTATGCTGTCTTTGTAGGTAGCCCTTGAGGCACCATGACTTTGAATCTCAGTGTCAAATGACCTAGCTCAGATCCACGGTCTCATGGGTAGCTGTGTTCCAGTTCTGTGTTTAATGAAATAGAGAAAACATTGCTGTCTTTAACGTGTGGGGCTAAGAACCCTTTTAAAACACGATATTTGACTTTTGCAATTTCTGTTACAAAAATATGAATAGTAGATTGAAGTTATTTGTCCTTGGTGTCCACCCTCTGCTGCAGGGAGAAGGCCTTTGAGTCTGAGTTCACAGGGGTCTTCAACAGACAGCTTCTGTCTCAGGGGATGGGAGCACCATCTCCCTCTGCCTGGGTGGCTCCTGGACATGTGACCCCTGTGGATGAAGGCTCTGAGAAGCTTCAGCCAAGAAGGGCTCCATGAGGGATCAGGGACCCGGGAGAGAGGGGTGGGGGGTAGGGAGGGAGGGAGACCACTGGAGGTGGACCCCATCAATCCACAGCTCAGCCTCTAATGGGAGAGAACTGCACTTCAGTGCTCGAGGCCGGCATCAAGTGAGATGGAGCACCACGGCCTGACAGTTGGGTTATATGAGCACATTACGGAGACAGACCCTATGTGGACCCTCTCTCTGCCAGGCTGGACCCATATGGGTGAACTTTCTTTTTCTTCATTTTGCTTTTCTGTGCTTTCTAATTTTTCTATGACAAGCACGCACTGCTTATGCAACACAAACTATGTTTAAAAACTGGCACGATCTTCTAGGATGCATTTAATGCCCTGGTATTGTATTTTGAAGGTTGACATATGTCTCTACATGGGCCTGTCTGTGGGGTGTGGCTCCCAGCAACTCTGAAATGGGTTAGTGGTGCTCTGGTGGCCTTGTGACAAGGGACAGCTGTTTCTTAAAAGGTGCAGCTGCTGAAAGGATCTTTGTGCTCTGGAGAAATGTCCTGAAGTGTGGGCCCCTTTTCCCAGCCAGTGTGTCCTGCTCCCCTGGGGGATGATGGTGAGGCACGGTTCAGAATCGCTACCATGGGCCCAGCAAAGGTAGCTGCTGGCGTGAGAACCAGGAACTCCACAGCAGGTAGCTAGGTACTCTGTTAACTGGAATTCATACAGCAACAGTTATGACAGATCATAAGTTCATCCTGAATCACTGGGGCATGTGGGTGTACTCTGGAGGGTCCAAATTTCTGGACAGCAGACACTTATTAAAATTACTTTTGTTGAATCAATATGGGGGTTCCTCAAAAAACTAAAAATAGAGTTACCATATCCCCCAGCTTATACCACTCCTTGGCATACACCTGAAAGAATTAAATTCAGCATGCTGTAGGATTAATTGCACACCCATGTTTATTGTGACACAATTCATAATAGATATGGAGCCAGCCTAGGTGTCCATCAACAGATGAATGGATAAAGAAAATAATAAATTTTACACACACACACACACACACACACACACACACACACAGTGGAGTATTATGTGTCCAGAAAGAAGAGCAAAATTATGTCATTTGCAGGAAAATGAATGGGACTGTTAAACAAAATAAGCCAGACTCAGAAAGACAAATATTGCCTTGTTTTCCTTAATATAGAGTATCTTTAAAAATGTCAGTAAAGTAGAGGGGAGGCTATTATTGGAAAAGGGGAAGAGAGTAAGAAGAGCAGGTATAAGGGAGGGCAATGAGGAATGGATATAAGTATGTTATATGCATTTATGAAAATATCGCATTGAAACTCAATATTTTGTAAATTTAATAAGCACTAATAAAATATATTTAAAGATTACTTTTGTTATATGAATTCACATTTAAGAAAATCAGTCTAGAGTTCTGTCTGCTTTTCACTCCTATTGAACCCTAAATAGTGAATTTATGCCCTGTGTGGTGACACATGCCTATAATCCCAGCACTCTAGGAGGCTGAGGCAGGAGGACTGCCAAGTTTAAGCCTAGCCTGAGCAACTTAACAATTTATCTAGACCCTGTCTCAAAATAAAAAATAAAAAGCCTGGAGATGTAGCTCAGTGAAAAGGCTCTGGGTTCGATATCTCAAAAAAAAATAGTGAGTCTACCTGATTACTTCTTCCATGTGATATCCTGGGAGTTATGAAACCATATAGTACAGGTCTCTTTCCTTGTATAGCAAGGAGCTGATGGAGAGGTAGTGATTGGGTAGAAAATAAACACATCCCTGGAATAACAGCCAATGGTCATTTTTAGAGTGAATCTGAGAGAGAGTTTACTTTCTATTCATCAGTTTTTTGGCCTCAAAAGGGAAAATGTGTCTCCGAAAAATCACTGGTTTAATTTGATTAATGTTAACATTGAGAGACAGCATCATCCTTCACCATTATTTAAAAAAAAAAAAGTTAAAAAATGTCCCACATCACTGGTCATTCAAGAAATGCAAATGAAAACAACACTGAGGTTCCATCTCACTCCAGAAAGAATGGATGCTATCAAGAAATTAACCAATAACAAATGCTGAAAGGGCTGTGGGGAGAGAGAAGCCCTTCTGACTGTTGGTGGGAGTGTAATTGGTGCAACTAATATGGAAACCAGGGGCCAGGAATTTAGCTCAGTGGTGCCATGTCTGTCTATCTGTGCCATAAGCACAAGGTCCTGAATTCAATCCCCAGTATAAAAAAAAAAAAAAATCAGTATGGAGATTCCTCCAAAAACTGAAACTAGAGGTTCCATTTGACCCAGCTGCTCCCCTTTTTGGTATTTTCCTGAAAGAGTTAAAAGCATCATGCCATGGTGATATATGCACACACATGTCTATAGCACAGTTTGTAATAGCTAAATCTTGGAAACAGCCCAGATGCCCATCATTGGATGAACAGATAAAGAAAATGTGGTTTTTATATACAATAGGGTACTACTCTTCCGTAAAGAAGAATAAACTTGAGATATTTTTAGGTAAATGGATGCACTTTAAAACCATACTTTTAAGTGAAATAAATTGGACACACATGTTTAAATACCACATTATTTCTCTTGTGTGAGAAACTGAAAGCACAGATAAGGTCCAAAATGGATGACAGGTACAGGGAAGTAGGAAGAAAATGTTCAAATGGGAAGGGGAACAAGGGTGGGGAAGAGAAGGAAGGGAAAAGGAAAAAAAAAGAATAGAAGGAAAAAATAGAAACAAAGCTTTTGTAAAGAAGGAGAGGAAGGGTTGAAGGGAGGGGAGTGAATAGGGAAAAAAGAAGACACAACATATATTATGTACAGGTACTAATTCCCTATGATGAATGTGCACCAGCTTGATTAATCAAAAGTATACCAATAAAATTAATTTTAAAATAAAAATAAGATTCACATGGAAAAAATAAAGATACCTTTTGAAAAAAAGAAAGAAAGAAAAACAGCGCAAGTGGCCAGCTGAATGAACTGAGTTAATCTGGGAGTAATGAAGACTACCAGGATGCCAACCTCAGAGGCCTCGGGTAATCAGCAAGCACAGCAGCCAACAGTGCGTGTTTCCTGGGCACCGATGCCAGGGGCTGCTCTGAGTGTTACAGGAATAAAAGGACAAGGCAGAGAGTCTCAGCCTGAAAGGAAGTCACACCCTTACCAGCACTCAGTGCTATGTTGACAAAAGATGAGAAGGAGGACAGGACTGTTAGTGTGGTGAGCGCCATAGGTTGGTGGATCCTCTCATTGGCCACCCACTGCTGGGCCTCAATTTCCTCATGAGAGAATGAGGCATTAACTCATCTCCAAAGTACCCTCAGCCTCACAGACTGCAGAGCAGAGGATATGTGGAAGGGAGTCCAAGACTGGGCCCTTGGATCAGTGAGACAGACCGGGTTGGGAGGAAAATAAGGTCTTCACATTGAGCATGAGGGAAAAGGCAATTAAGAAGCCCACTTCACTGACAGCTCAAGTGTCAGCTCCACACGGAGGATGCGCTCCTGAAGAGGGATGGGGTGACTCATCAGATGGCTGGAACCTAATGAGACAGGGCTATCCAATTTCTTCACTCTGATTCTAGCCCATTGCATTATGTTAATTTGGTATCCACTGCTGTTTCCCCAGGCAAGAGGAGGGACAGGCGTGAGTTCTCAGGCCCATTAGCAATTGGATATTGGCATTCTTCTGTACGAGCAAAATTAGATCACATATAAGACATGACTCTGAAGTTATATATCATAGTCTTCAAATCAAAGGGACAGCATCCTTAGAGATACCACTGGTTAGGCTTCATTCTCGTGCTGACTGGGTTAGCCTTTGGACCAGTTTTAGAGAGCTGGTAAACCTTGATTGGCTTGGTAAATGTAGAAATTCTGGATCTGCAAAGATAACCAACAAAGTCAATAGCACATGCATAATGCTGTCCAGTGTACAGTGTGCGTCACCTACAGTGCAGTGGTTGCTCTGGGGCAGCTTGGGAAGGCAACTCAAGCAGAATGAAGGTACTCATAAGGGTCTGGGCTGGGGGTCAAACCCAGGAGGTGGATTCCAAATGCATTCACAGTGTTGCTGCTTCTTCACGGAGTAGCAACACTGAGAATGGATTTGGAATCCATCCAGCACTCCCCCTCGCGCATATACTCAGACACATTTGCTCTGCAAGATTGGTGCCCAGTGGTTCAACTGGAGTGATAAGAAGCAGAGGCAGCGAAGAAAGCCATGTGCCAGTCTGTTTTAGAGACTGTGAAGCTGTTTCTCCTTCCCTCCGCCTGCTGCCGGACGCTGGCCGGCCACTCTGGTCGGCTGCACTCCAGGAGGTAGGCATGCACTTGATGCCCGCTCCTCCCTCCTCTTCTCTGGCTGGGATGGATGCTCCTGCTGAGGGTGTCGAGGGACCCTCCTCTGGTGTGGCTACCCCCCAAGCAGCAGTGCCTGGCACACCCTGGGCTCTGGGCATCTCTGCTATTGGAGCTGCCATCTCAGATTACAGAAGGGAGGGCGGGTTCCTCTGGATGTCAGGCTCTGGGTCCCACGTACAAAGCAGGCCTGTGTACTCCGTCAGCCCAGGTAAGGCCACACAGTGAAGGCTGTTGTGCAGGGATCCTTCCCACTCACAGAGAAGACCACGCCGCCTGGCTGCAACAACCTAGAGGCTCAGGAGAAGAATGAACTGGCCCCATGCCTGCTTCTCATTTTGCTGGATTTATTTTGCTGCTTCCAGACTGAGAGGTGAGCTGTTGATGGTGAGTGTGACTGTTTCTCTGGTGGGAAGTGGGGTGGGCCAGAAAAGTCCAAAGAGCTGATCTAAGTGCATGGAAGCGTTTGTGCATCTGCCTGACTCTTGCCGATCTGCATAGTACATTCCAGGAAAACATCTCACCCACCCATCCATCCGAAATGTGCCCCTAGTCCAGCCGGGCCATCCCCTATTCTGCACCTCAGCCCCATGTTCTTTGCTTGAAATACACACAACACTTTGAATGATGGTCTGGGTCTCTCTTTTTGAGTAGCTGTAGATACGGCAAATGGAAAATACGCTCAGAAGTTGTTTAACGACCTGTTTGAAGATTATTCCAATGCTCTTCGTCCAGTCGAAGATACAGATAAAGTCCTGAATGTCACATTGCAGATCACACTGTCTCAGATCAAGGATATGGTGAGTAGTGTAGAGTGGGAAGACCTTGAAAAGGATCTTAGAATGACACAAGCATGCCTCCTGAAGGGGATATCCTGATGCGGAACTTGAGAAGGACCAAACAGGCAGCCCTATATACAAGTTGTTGGGCAAAAAGAATCCAGGGGAAGGACGCTTTCTATAAAACTAATAGCACTGTGTGTTATGCACTGTTCACTAGTTGCTGGGGAGGAAGAAGGAAGTGATCAGTGACTACTTAATTGTTGGCGGCTTCTTCTGGGGAGCTGTCTTAGTCACTTTCTTGAGATGCAATACCTGACACCCACAGCTTAAAGGAAGAGATGTTTGTTTTGGCTCACGGTTACAGCCCATGGTCAGCTGGCTCCAAGGCAGAACTGCATGGCAGGGGCATAGTGGAGGAAGAGCTGCTTGTGTCATGGCAGCCAGGAAACTGAGAATCAAGGGAGGGGCTGGGAAGGGCCATATAACTTTCTGGCCACCCCAAGACGACCCCGTCTTCCACCCAGGCCCCATCTCCTCAGCTATACACCCCATAATCCAATCCTCTTCCAAAGGTCCCACCTAGAATCCCATGAAACTTTGAAAAGGGAACAGGTAGGTAGGAAACAACATGGCAATGAAAATGTTCTTGAATTAGATGGTGATGGTTGCTCAATTTTATGAATGTATTGGAACCGCTGCACTGTCCACTTCCAAAATGGCTAAAATGGTAGTGTTTATGTTATGTGAATTTAATATCAATTTAAGAGGGAAAAATGATATTTTAAGTTAGTATAGCTCATTTAGTGCATATATGTTTGATTACACAAAGTTATGAGACTTGGGGAACTTCTCATCTGTACATGGAAGATAGTTCCCGATTTCTTCATTCAACTGTGTCATTAGTTCATCCATTTTTCAGAGAAAATTGAGCAGTTGACCTATGCAAAGACCTGAAGACTTCAGTATTTGTTTACTTTACATTCTAAACACTAAATTAAGGAAGGAAAAAAAAATGTGGCTTTGGTAGTCAACCAAGGGGATAAAATAAAAAAGCTTTCACTTCTTAATGGAAAATAGATGAGTGTTCTTGAAATTCCCTTAGTGAAGAACAAAGGTACTGAAGACAGAAGGCAACTGGCCCAAGTGTCTACTGGATAGAGTGACATCTGATTCATTGTGCAGGATGAAAGAAACCAGATTCTGACTGCCTATCTGTGGATCCGCCAGATCTGGCATGATGCCTATCTCACGTGGGATCGAAACCAGTATGATGGGCTGGACTCCATCAGGATTCCCAGCGACCTGGTGTGGAGGCCAGACATTGTCCTGTACAACAAGTAAGTGCCCAGAGCTAAGACTTCCTGTGAGGGACCTGCTGATTTAATAGAATTTAAATGTAAGGAAAAAAAATGTGAAAAACAAGTATGAAGTATTAATCCTTGTTCCTAGGCCCCTGCAATAATGGTCATGAAATCTCAGATAATAAAATAATAGGTCATAAAAGATTAGAGCTCAAAAGAAACTGTCAGATTCAATCTACATTGTCCCTTTTCAAGTGGGAGACTGGAAGCTGCATTAGTTTGCTAGCACTGCCATAATAGAGTAGCACAAACGGGGTGACTTAAAGAGCAGAAGTTTGTCACCTCACAGTTCTGAAGCTGAAGTGTGGAATCAAAGTGTTGGCAGAGAGCCTGGTGTGGTGGCACTCACCTGTAATCCCAGCCCTCTGGGAGGCTAAGGTAGAAGGATTACAAGTTCGAGCCCAGCCTGGGCAGTTTAGCAAGTTAGTGAGACCTTGTCTCAAAATAAAATAAAAACAGGGCTAGAGAGGTGCAAAGGTCCTGGGTTCAATCCCTAGTACTGAAAAAAAGAAAAAAGTATTGGTGGAGTCAGTTCCTTCTGAGGGTTATGAGGAGGCAGAACCTGTTTCCTAGCTTCCGGTGTTCCTGGAATGGTTCAGAGTGTCACCCTGATGTGTGTCTATATCTTCACACAGTGTCCCTGCTCTAGGCTTTCTGTGTCCAATTTCCCTGTTGTATAAGGAGAACATCAATACTAGCTTAGGTGCCCCCCAACTCCAGCATGACTTTGTCTTAACTAATTATGTCTACAATGACCCTAGTCTTACATAAGGTCTCATTCTAAGATGCTGGTGGACCAGCACTCCAGAATACAAATTTTCTGAGCACACAATTCAGCCCACAAGAGTGGCGCTCACTATTCAAGGTCATGTAGCAATAACAATGATGCTATTAAAATTAAATGGGAAGGGGCCGTCTAGAGCTGGCCGATGGATTCTAGCCTCTGGGGGTGGTGGAGGCTGAACTGGACTATTGGACACCAGTTGGCTCTTTGCTATTTGAGAAGCGAGGGGCCTTGTGTAAGTGGGTGGGTAAGGCTTATGCTTCCCAAACTGTGAAGTGCACCCAAATCACTTAAGGATCTTATTAAAATACAGGTTCAGATCCAGTAGGTCTGAGGTGGGCCTGTGGTTCTGCATTTCTACAAATTCCAGATGCTAGAAGCACTGCTGGTCCCTGGGCTGCACTGTGAGAAGGAACCAGCTCTCTGTTACAATTGGAGCTCCATTTCCCCATCTGTCGTTGAGATAGGTCCTCTCCCTCTCCCCCCGCCCCTCTCTCCTGGAACCCAAGTTTCTGTGGGTTGGGCAGATTCCTCTGAGGCTCAGAACAATGTAAATGAGGGGCAGCTAGGGGGTTCCCCTGGGTGGAGCCTGCTAGTGGGCATGGATTTCCCTTAAGGAAGCAGCCCTTGGTAGGGAAGCCTGGACTTAGGCCTCACTCAGTACTCAGTGCAGGATGCAAGGCTCAGACCTCTTGAATCACAGCCAGGAGCCCACTGTCTGCTCTCCCCTCACCAGGGCAATCTTCCGTAATCCTTCCAAGCAAGAAGCAGTGATTATCTCTAAGATTACATACAAATGGCTTTTTTTCCCCTCTGTGCTTTCCAAATGTTCCAAATATACATGGATAACTCTTACAACATCAGCAAAAGGTTATGTTTAATATTCTGGTTCCCTAAGTGGACAAAATCAGATTTTTGTGTTGGCAAGTTTACCTTTTGTCTGGCTGTTTAAGTCATTAGACCTGGACCAAGGGAATGGTATTGGGAATGGACGGGAGGGAACCTGACCAGAGATACATTAAAGGAAGAATGCAGGAGAACCTGGCCCTGACGCCCTACAGGAGATGGAGGGGCAGGGACGCAGGAGAGGTTCTTCTGAGCTTTCAAGCCAGAGTAACAGGGAGAATCATGACACATTGCTAAAGATACTGACATGATGGGCACAGGGCAGTGAGCTTTCTGGGGTAGGGAAGTCTGTGAAGTCTTCTAACAAGCAGCTGTCATTGTCCTCCTCTGACCTCCAGGGCTGATGATGAGTCTTCAGAGCCTGTGAACACCAATGTGGTCCTGCATTACGATGGGCTTATCACGTGGGATGCACCAGTCATCACCAAAAGCTCCTGTGTGGTGGATGTCATCTACTTCCCCTTTGACAACCAGCAGTGCAATCTGACCTTTGGTTCCTGGACCTACAATGGCAATCAGGTAGACATATTCAATGCCCTGGACAGTGGAGATCTCTCTGACTTCATCGAGGATGTGGAATGGGAGGTCCATGGCATGCCTGCTGTGAAGAATGTCATCTCCTATGGCTGTTGCTCTGAGCCTTACCCAGATGTCACCTTCACCCTCCTTCTGAAGAGGAGGTCCTCATTCTACATCGTCAATCTCCTCATCCCTTGTGTCCTCATATCTTTCCTAGCTCCCTTGAGTTTTTATCTCCCAGCAGCCTCTGGGGAGAAGGTCTCCCTGGGAGTCACCATCCTGTTGGCCATGACCGTTTTTCAGTTAATGGTAGCAGAGATTATGCCAGCCTCAGAAAATGTCCCTCTGATAGGTGAGTTCACGGGTCTTACACTCTGTGACTGGAGTTGTGTGTGCACCTTCAAGCTAATAATTGGGTCAATTTAAGATTCATGGCAGGCAGTCACATAATTCATTTGGTGTCTGCCCTCAGCAAGGTTGCATATCGATATGGCTGTTGCTACAAAACTGGTTTTATGTTCTCCGGGTTTGCACATAAGAACAACGAGAGGTTTGGTAGTTTACAGCAGTGGTTCTCAAAGTGGTGTCCCTGGGCTCAAAACATCATCACCTGGGAAGTCTTGGATATGCAAATGCTCAGGGACCATCTGTTTTGGACATCTGTCCGAACAAGCCTTCCAGGGATTCTGAGGCTCTTTCTGCTCAAGGCTGAAAACCACTGATTTAGAAGTGAAAGTTCTGATTTTGAATTCAGAGAAGACTGCATTTGAGTGCTGATTTCACCACTCCTCAATCAACCTTAGGCAAGTTACTTAATCTCTTAGCTTCTGCTTCTTCATCCGCAAAATTTGTATAATTGCTGCTTCCTGAGTTATTGCTTAGTGCAGAACCTGGCAAATCATAAATACTGTGTCAACTGGCACTTTTAATATCTTTTCACGTTGTAAGGGCTGTCCTCTCAGGAAGAATGGCAAACATGACAGAAAGAGGAGCTTGAGTTTCAAGCCTGACGCCGACCCTTCACAGAATAATTCTCCACTTTTACTGGGTATAAGAGCTGTGGGAAGGTTTCTTAAAATGCAGATCCCTACACCCAAAGAGTTTGGTTTAGCAATTTTGCCCAAGATTTGAGAATCAGAGGTCATTCTAAAGCAGACTGTATCTTCAAAAATCTGAGGTCATGAAATGACCTCCAAGGGCTGGGTTGTAGCTGGAGTTGACCATCCCTGCCTCCCCACTCCTTTACCTTCCTTGTTCTTAGGTTTCTCCTATCATCTTTAACATCTCCTTCTTGCCACTGGGGAGATGCTCCAATTCAACACCTTCATCTGAACAACCTGCTATTGCAATAGATGCTTACTGGAACCAAAAGCTAGACCTAACTTTCAGTTCATTAAAATAAGCAAAGAGGAGAAATTTCAGGACTCCAAGGGACCTAGACACCATTATCAGAGATTTGTGTGATCTTTTGCTCTGTACAGAATCCAGTTACTTCACATTCAGACATTACTACATTTGTTTCTCTGGAGAGTTCTTTTTTTTTTTTTCAGATGTCTCCTAGCGACACACACACACACACACATGTGCACACACCCACGTGTACAGATACATACACACATACTTTTAAAAGAAATAAACAAGTTTTTCCTCTCCTAATAAAAAGGAAGAGGATTTTTACTTACCTCATTTTACTTACCTTTCGAGGCAGATAAGCTTGACAGTGATGATAGCCAGCCATCTTGCTTGAGGCTGGATGATTGGAAGGTCTCTTTTCCTTTTTTTTCTCTTAAATTCTTTTATTGGTACATTTTAGGTAAACAATACATTTACATTTATCATCGAGTACTTGTACCTGTACATGATATATCTTGGTTCTTATTTTTTCCCCATTCCCTGTTCTCCCTTCACCCCCTCCACCCTTCCCTATTTACAAAGACTTTGTTTCCATTTTTTCCTTTTCTCATAATTTTTCCTTTCCCTTCTTTCCTTTCCCATTCCCCTCCCACTTCCCCTACCCTTTTGGACCTTTTCTTCCTAAGTGAAATAAATAGGACACACATATGTAAATACCGAATAGTTTCTCTGGTGTGAGAAACTGAAAGTGTAAATAAGGTCTCTCTTCTTTAGCAGTGACATTTGACAGCAAGTTGGCACAATTTCCAGAGGAATCTGAAAGCATTACTTGTTCTGTTTCCATGATAATATGAAATTTATATTTTAAGAACACGTACATGCAAATCTTGAGAATATTAACAATCACAACTTGCTATTTATAGCATCTATGAAATATGTTCTTAATCTCACAAAAACATTTATGTTTTCTGAATTAAGCATAGAATTTGGCTCATAATCATAACTGTGGCTCATAATCTTTACTAAGAAAGGCTATTCCTTGGGGCCGGGGATTTAGCTCAGTGGTTCCACCACCTGGCTCGCAAGTGGAAGGACCCGAGTTCGATCGCTGGTACCAAAAAAAAGAAAGGCCCTTTCTAAAACTTAACCAGAGGTTTGTAACAAATAATAGATGTTCAGGATTATAAACATTATGAAGTGCTTCATCTTCATCTGTCAAGATAGTCATGTAAGTTCCCTCACCCACTAATGTAGTTAATTACATCAATGGGTTTTCTGATGTTGAACTTCATATTCCTGGACTGAACTCTCCTTTGTTATGATATATTATCATTTGAAGACACTACAGAATTCTGTTAGCTAATATTTCTCTATATGTCTCTATGTGCAGTGGGTTTAATATTCCTTTTTTCATCACTTTTAGAATCAAGTTGAAATTGACTTTATGAGTAAGGAAATTGTCTCTCCTTTTATATTTCTTACAACTTGTATAAGATATAAATTTTGTTCCTTAAAGGTGTAGTAAAACTCACTTATAAACTCCTTTGGTTCTGGAGCATTTTTTTGCAGGAAAAGCAGGTATTTGATTACCATTTCTAGTCAGTGTTTTTCTTCTTATATTAATTTTACCATCTTACATTTTTCTAGAAATGCCATCTAGATTATTAAATATATTATCATATGGATACCTAAAATACTACTTTGTTGTTTCCTAAATCTCTAGTTTCTCTCTCTCATTTTTCTCTTATTCTGATTGACTTTGTCAAAGTTTTGTCATTTTTATTTTCTTCTTCTTTTTTTTTGAGAAAGGTCTCACTATGTTGCCTGGCTGACTTGGACCTCCTGGGCTCAAGTGATCCTCCTGCCTCACCCTTCTTAGTAGCTAGGACTATAGATGTACATCAACAGGGTTGGACTTATTATTCTTCAAAAAATTGCCCTTGGTTTTGCTCATCTTCTTAGTTTTTTGTTTTATATTTTATAAACAGAAGGGCCCATATTGTTTCTTTTGCTTCCCTCTTTCATGAACATTTGCTTTATACAATCATATTTTAAAGACACGGTAACACAGTACCCCCTTTCCTACTCAACAGTGATTGTCTTCCATCTTGGTGAGGTCTGAAGACAATACTAGTGCTGGTCAGTTTCCCTGAGTCGAGAGTAGAAGTTTTTCACATCATGATCTCAGCTAACATTTGCAAGCCTTTGGAGCCAGGGACAGTGCGGAGAACTTGCTGAGTCCCATCTCTACTAAGATGAGTTACACCCATATTTCTGAGCCAGAAGCAGAAGCTTGGCAATTTTATAGATCTTCCTGCTGGTTACAAGTCTAGTGGGTGACAAGGCTAGGATTTGAGCTTGTTACCTTTGCTGCCAGGTGCTTGCGTGCCCTGCTGTTTCTCCCCTGTGGTGCCTGTTTGCCATCCCAGCCTCGGAGTCAGCTGATTATGGACTGAAACCTCTATGAACTATAAAGTTAATAAACCTCTTCCCCTCCAACTTGAGAGAAAAGTAACTAACACAGTCATTAAGCCCACAAAACACTAATTTGGATACGGTGACTGTTGGTAAAGGCATTAGAATGTATTTTCAGGGCTAGATGAAAAATATTTCCAAATCATTTTAGAATCTTACAAGGTTTATGTGTATAGTTAAATTTATCAAAAGGATAAATGAGGGGCTGGGGTTATTGCTCAGTGGTAGAGTACTTGCCTGGCATGCATGAGGTTCTGGGTTCAATCCTCAGTACCACACACATACCAAAATAAATAAATAAATAAATACAGACAGACAGACTAGGATTTGAACCCAGGATGTCAATTCAGAAGCCTATACGAGACCACTACAGTCACCTCCCTAGAAAGGGTATTTGTCTCTCTCTTTTTAAGCAAATACGAGGACAGTGTTAAAGCAAACTTAGGTGTTGCTATTTTGATTGCAGGCAAATACTACATAGCCACGATGGCCTTGATCACAGCCTCTACCGCCCTGACCATCATGGTGATGAACATCCACTTCTGCGGGGCTGAGGCCCGGCCAGTGCCGCACTGGGCCCGGGTGGTCATCCTGAAGTACATGGCCAGGATCTTGTTTGTCTACGATGTGGGTGAGAGCTGCCTGAGCCCACGTCACAGTAGGGAGCGGGGCCACCTCACAAAGGTTTATGGCAAACTTCCCGAGTCAAGCCTGAAGACAGCCAGGAACAGAGACCTTTCCAGGAAGAGGGAAAGGAACAAACTCTTAAAGAACAACCTGGGGTGCCAGGGTGAGGTGCCTCAGGATGCCGAGAGTTACTGTGCGAGGTACGAAACGCTGACGAGAAATATAGAGTACATTGCCAAGTGCCTTAAAGACCACAAGGCCACCAACTCCAAGGGGAGTGAATGGAAGAAGGTTGCAAAGGTCATAGACCGATTCTTCATGTGGATTTTCTTCATCATGGTGTTTGTGATGACAATTTTGATCATAGCGAGGGCAGATTAGGAGGCATTTGATATGGGGGAGAAATCAATAAAATCCCCTGTGATCCACTGCAATGTTCCTCTAAGCCAGATTGTTGTTCACACATAATTTAGGGGTCATGTTATTTGTGATTTTTAATTTAACTTCAATATTGTAGCTACCTGTCACGTTAAAGTAAGCAAGAGATCTACAATTTTAAGGGTAGAATAAAGGGGAAATAAAGAAGGACTCCTTTCATAGCTTACCAGAATGGTGGGCAACTTGTGCCTTATTTATGCAACTATTCAGCTCTTCAGTACTGGCAATAACAAAGCATAGTACGTAACTTTTCAACAGTTAGAACAACAAAAAAGTGCAAAACAAAACAGATTTCTTTTCCCCCTAGTCCCTATTAAAACATGCTTTTAAAAAGGAAACTTTTTCTGGAGTGGGAAATTTTAAATCTAATCTCAAATAGTGGCAAAAGGGTTTTAACCTACATAAAGTCTAAGGATTCACAATTTAAAGGGGAAGAGAACTTCTTCAAAATGGTGACATCATATATGTTGGTGGTGTTGTAGAAACTCTAAAGATGAGGTCATTCCTGCATTGTCTTTCATTAAAATGAGACAGATGAGGTTGTTCCTGCAGTTAGTCTTTGATTAAAGTAAGGGAATCTGCAAGTTAAACTCATTCAATCGCTCCCTCAACTACTCACCAGACACTTATTAAATTTCCCCTACAAATAATAAGGCTCTATGGCTTACACTTGCCAGGAGTGTCAGAGCAAATATTATCAGAAGCCTGATCGGTACTGATCTTTACAGTTCTGTGAGGGCCAGGCCGGTGTCGCTTTTTTTTTTTTCCCCAGAGGAATGACCGTGCTCCTGGAAGTGGGTATAAATGACCTACCTCCTCCATGGGAAGATAGACGGTAAGTGGAGCCAGAATTTGTCCCTTGTGCTGTGCTCCAGGTTGATCAGGGCCTGCTAATGCCACACTGCTTTTGGCTACGACAGATTAGAATTCAGAATAGGAGAGATGAAGGGATCCTCATTCTGAATTCAAAACTCTCCACCAATCTGTGCAGACTTCTTTCAATCAAAAGGCCAGACCCAATCTTCAGACTGTGAGTGAGTGGTTTCCTGGAAATGCAGACTCACGATTGCTAATTAGATGATCTTCAGGCAGGGAGATTATTTTCGATTACCCAGGTGGATCAAGGGGACGTGAGCAGACTTAGAGGAAGAGAGAAGCAGAAGGGAGCAAACCCGAATGGGGTCGTGAGTTCTCAGCCAGGGTCGCTGGCTTTGAAAATGGAGCAAGCAGCCTCTAGAAGCCGGAAACGCAAAGAAATAAATTGTCCCTGGGAGCCTCTGGAAGGAAAGCAGCCCTGCTGGGCATTGATCTTAGCACAGGTGACCCGCTACAACTCCAGAGAGTATTTTTTAAGGCACTAAATTTGCAGTAGCTTATTAGGGTAGCAATAGAAAACAGGCAGTACCCAATGAGCACTGCTGTGTGCTGCGGCTTAGATATGTTTGCCAGAGTCCCTCTCCAGGTTCATGGCCCTGGGTGGTGGTATTGGGAGGTGACGGTACCTTTAAGAGGTGGGCCCAGGGGGCGGTCCTGAGGTCATCAGGGGCGTGGTCTCTGAAGGGATGGAGGCTTCAGTCTCTGAGAAATACTAGGGAACCACTGAAGGCTTTTAAGCAAGGGAGTGACAATGTCAGATTTGTGTTTCTGAAATAAGACTGGGGTGGCAGTTAAGAGATTTTAGAGAAGAGAAAAAAATCAAGGAGATCTTGGATGTTTATCATTTCAGGAAAGTGATAATGAAGGCTTAATCTAATATGGTAGGGGAAAAAAATAGAAAAGAGGACAGACCGATCACAAAATGTTTGTGATGTTGAAGAGGCAAGACTTGATGATTGGCTGGATAAGGACTGGTGTTTAAGAGAGTTCTGGAGATGAGAATGCCTCAGCCAGCATTAGAGTTGATTGAGGAAACTAGTGAGTGTGGTAGCAAATGCCTGTGATCCCAGCGTCCCGGGAGGCTGAGGCAGGAGGATTACAAATTCTACCCCACCTGGATAACTTAACAATTTAGCAAGATCTTGTCTCAAAAAGTTAAAAAGTGCCTGGGTATACTGCAATGCAAAGGCCCTGGGTTCAATCCCCTGCCGAACTGCAGGTCAGAAGTCAAGCTCAGGGGCAGAGCAGGCTCATTTGAGAAAGAGTGGTGCAATCAGGGCAGTGAACCACGAGACAGGCAAGATTGGGAGGGCGAGCAGGGTTGGGTCATGTTTTGCAAAGTTTAAGAAAACACCAACCATGTCCCTTAGTGCCTGGCTGCTTTGGTGTACTGAGTTGTACCTGGGTGTTTTGAGGTCCTGACCTTTGTTCTTTCTTCTGTGTCTACTTTTCCATCCAAACCAACCCTTGCCAGCACAGCCATGGGCAAACTTGGCAAATGGACTGCCGTGGGCAAACTGGAAACACAAGTTCTAACCTATCTGAAGCCCTCGTGGTGAGGCCACCTGTAAAGTCACTGATTCCAAAGGCCACCAGGGAGTCTGCCTCTTTCTCTCCTCCTCTCAGATGACACCTTTTAAACAGGACCTGGCTGTTAGAACTTCTCGAGTTGCTCATTGTAGCTAAGCCTCTCCAACCCTCACAAAATAAAACCCTGTGACAAAATCACCTCCGCCTCTGCATATTTCCAACGCTCTTCTCAGCCAAGGTTCCTGCAGCAGACAGGTGATATGTTCAAATTAGGACAACCCGGGGAGGTTTAGCAGAGGGCCGACTACAAAGGGGTCGGTGGGCTGTAGAGAAACACAAGCAGGCCAGAAGAGTGCTCTGCTGAAATGGAGGGACAAAGGGGAAACAGCCTCACAGTCCCTTACTCTTGCCTTCACTCTGCCTACATTTAAACCTGACTTCTGGACCAGGTATGGTGGTGCACACCTGTAATCCAAGCACTGTGGGAGGCTGAGGCAGGAGGCTCCCCAGTTTGAGGCCAACCTGGGCAATTTAGTGAGTGTCTGTCTGAAAATAAAAATTTTTAAAGGGCCAAAGATATAGCTCAGTGGTAGAGCGCTTGCCTAGCACGTACCAGGCCCTGGGTTAAATCCCAGCACGTCAAACATACAAACCTGACTTCTTTCCTCTCCAGTCGACTGAAACAGCTCTTGCCACGATCAGGTGGAACTTGGTAACTGCCAAGTCCCTGATGCCTCAAGACCTCTCTGCTCCTTTCATCACAGCTGAGTGAGACCTTTTGCTTCTTACGGGTTCGTTCTCAGGGGCCCCCACTGGCCAAGTTGTCCCTTTCTGGTAAAGATCGGAGGCCAACTGTGTCCCACTCTTAGCCCTCTGCCCCCTCTGATGCTTACTGCCATTACTGTCTTATTGTTTCTCAAAACCATCCATCTGGTCTCAAGTCTCCTTTTAGCTTCAAACTCCATACGATCTTTGTGTCCACTAGGAATCTCCATTCACATGACCTTCACACTGAACACGTCCCAAACTGAGCTCACGCTCTACATTGTCACCAGTCTCCTCTTCCTCCTGTGTTCCTGGGTCATTTCATGGCATGCTATCCACTCCATTACCTGGGCTAGAAATCAGGTAGTCGGTCCTGCTGGACCCTTAGCTAACTGGGCACCAAATCAATCACTGATCCTGTCACTTCTACTTCTCAGTTGTTTTCAAATCTGTGCACTTTGCTTTAGGCCCCTGACAGCTGGTCTATTTCAGGTCTTTATTGTCTTTGCCTAGACTGTTGCGGTGGTCCCTAACTGGACCCCTGGGTTCCAGTTTGTTTCTTCCCCCTCTACCTAACGTATCTCACTGTTGCCAAACCGATCTTGTAATTTTTCCACTCAGAACTTTTAAATGGCAAACAAAATGCCTACAGGATAAAATCCAACTTCCTTAATATGATACAACAGAGATTAAAAGTGTGTGTGTGTGTGTGTGTGTGTGTGTGTGTTGCTACTCTGGGAAGAGGTGTCCTTGTCCTCACCCTGAGAGCATAAATTACCTTCCTGCCAAAGAAAGTAGCAGCCCTCCTACTTCTTTCAGAGGAAGTAATCAGATCTCTTCTGTCGTGAGGGTCTGAGACCCCTGAGGGTGGCAGGGTCTTTGTCATGGAAAGGGATACAGAAATAAGATCCTTGACGTTGAAGGTTAAAAAAGAAAAAGCAGAGCTAGCTGGCTTTTCACCCTGGCTATGTGACTCAGGCTGTGTTAGACATGTACCTTCACCTAAGACCTTGAATCTTGAAGTTTATATGGAGAAAAAAATACCAAATACCAATAGCCATGAAAAATATGCACAAGAAGATTACGTAGGATTCTTGCTTGAGAAGAAATCGGAGGTCATGGTAAGCAAACTAAATTGCAATTGGGCTAAGAATAGGCCAGAAAAAGAATCAGTGGAAATGGATAGAGAATCCAGAATAAATCCCAGTCATGTGAGAAGTGAATGTATGATGGTGAAAGTAGTTTCAGGCCTTTGATTTATCCAAGAAACAAAAATTAATTTAAGATGGATTAAAAATTCAAGTGTAAAAAAACTCCAGCACTTTATTCTCTGCCTCGGTCTCCCCATGGTGTTTCCTCAAGATGTCTCTGTCTCTGTGCCCACATTTCTTTCTTATCAAATGACACCAGTCACTGGATGAGGACCCACCCTACTCCGGCGACACCACATTTTAACTTGAATGTATCATCTGCAATGACCCTCTTTCTAAGTAGGATCATATTTACAAGTATCGGGGGTCTTCAACATATATTTTTTGGAGAACAAGCCATAGAAGGGATGCCGTAGATACCTGAGGAAATAATTTTTTAATTTTATTGAAGTTACAGAATCTTCACAGATAGAGGAACATTCCTAGAAATTTTAACAAGCCATGAGTTTTAATGATCTAAGGGATAGTATAATAAAAAAGCAAATGTAGACTGCTTTGTAGCCAATATGTGACAACTGGTAGAAGTGAAGTAATAATAATAAAATAAGTATGAGGAGATAAAAATGGGTATGGGGATTATAAGAAGTACAATATATAATGGAATATTTTTTTCCTTTTTACATGTTTCCTTATCCAGGTCACGAAAACACAAATCTAATAAAATTTCTACTTTACATGGTTTGTGCCTTAACTGATTTAGAAATAAATGACTCACCACACATTGACAGTACAAGGATTAGTATTATTTAGGATTAGAATCACATTCTCAAGTCAAGGAAGTGTCACTACTTCTAGGAGCCCCAGCAGAATGGAGAAGTGTCTTTGCTTCCGAGAAAGAATATTCCAGTAGCTATTGTTTTCATTAACCAGTCTCAGGATACAAAGCTGACTACCTCTTGGCTGGTAGGAATACATACAATTTAGTGTGAGAAAGATTTGAAGGGAGCTCAAATTAAAAAAAAAAAGTTGAGAAACACAACAGGCAAGGAGAAGAGACAGTGTTGTGATTCAGAGCACAAACTGTAAAATAACCCAGCATGTTCATGGGAACAATGAAAGTCTGATTCTTCTCTGGGTTTGGGGGAACAGCATTCTGACAAATTCTGGCTGGAAGCTCCCCTTTCTGGCTTTAACCCATGAAAGGATTTCTTTTACTCTGGTTAGAGTGTGGTTAAGGCCTCTGTCTTATTTAGTCACTTACAGAACAGCAGGTCCCACTGTTGGGAAGTTGTCACAGGCACCCAAAACAAGTAAATTGCCTTGTTTTAAGACCTTGGAGATTTGAAGCAGGGTGTTTTACCTCCTCCCCATAGAGTCTAAGGCCAGGATGAAGTGAATTCCTGGCCAGAGTGGATGCTATCGGCCTTTTTTTCTTAATTAACTCAATGACTGTAGTAGTCATTGAACAGGTGCAGGGATTCAGATCTAGCCCACAGGTGTCCCTGTAATCCATAAAACCCTACCTACAGAAAGGGATTTCTCTTGTGCTGTGCCAACTACCTTGAATACTTAATGGTTGGTTTTGAGGGAAGTAATTTAAGCTGTAAGCCTAGCTGAGCCTTCATAGGTAATATAGCTGTAGAACATATAGCAATTGAGATTCTCACATCAGATTATTGGGCCAAGGTCCAGCGAGCAGCTACTAGGCAGAGAGATGGCTGGCATCCAGGTGCTCTTTGTCCTTGGGAGGGACTCAACCTTCCAATCCCTGCCCCATCTGGGCAATGTCCTAGGCTCAAAGCCACAGAACCTCAGGATTTCTAATTTTTTTTTTTGAGGCAGGGTCTCTGTTTGTAATTCAGGCTGGCCTTGAACTCACTATGTAGCCCAGGATGACCTTGAACTTGCAGCCATTCTCCTGCCTCAGCTTTCTGAGGCTGCAGGCCTGTGCCACCATGCCCAGCTCTACTTTTTTTTTTTTTTTGCAACATTGGTTCAACCCTTCCTAAGAGAATTAAGCAGTGACTTTTTTTCATTGTTCTGAAAAAAGTTCTATAAGTGCAACAAGTGCTATAAAAAAAAAGATTTGCAGTAAGAAAGAGTTAAGTGTAATAAATGCCTCTCCCTACTTTCATCAAGAGACAAAATCTTTCCCAAAGGCCCCACCAGAATTCCTTCTGCATCTCATTGGCTAGGATTTGATCACATGTAGACCAGTCACTGACCAAGTGTAGACTTCCATGACTCACTTTAGCACAATCAGATTAATTCCCTAGAGTGTGTGTGTGTGTGTGTGGGGGGGCACTTTCCTTTACTCGTTGTTTCCCTATATCTGAATAATAGCAGGACTTTGTAGGCAAGGAAGATTTTGGTTGGGTGTCCAACAGTATAGATTACAATAGCATTGGAAAAGAATAGAAATAGAAGAGCAATTACTTGCACACCCTGCTCTTTATGTAACAGGGCAAACATGAATATCTTTCTGTTGTGCCCAAGTTGGCATCAACCTTGAATGGGGAGCAGTCTTCTCAAAGTTCACGAATGTTGCAGATAGCTCAGTTACAGCCCCACCATCAAGTCTGAGGCTGAGCAGCATAAATGTTGGCTCCTATAATCAGCTGAAAATCTGAAACTTGAATTTTCCTCAGACTTCATCCAGAATGATAACCTAGAAGGGGGAAAAAGAACTTTAGGAATTGAGAAAACATGAACATTGGAAATGAACAAAGCAAATTTAAGAAAGGTTAAATAAGATAATTGAAACTACCTCCATCTCGAAGTCATGTTTAGTGATTGTGAATGATGAGACATTGCCTAAATATGAGTGAAAGAAATAACATAAGATGAAAGACACTGCTGAAAAGGTTAAAATGTTAGGCTATTGCAGTGCTGAGAATTAATTCTATTTTTGGGCATAAAATATGTATGTGGCGTCTTTAGTTTTATTAATATAAAATCCATTTCTCTTGCTTCCACCAAAATAAACAACATTGCTTTGAAAAGGTGCCCAGTTTGTAACCTGCCAAGAACACCTGGTCTAGTTGTGTCAGTGAGGTAGCAGATGCGAAAAGAGAGGCTTTGGCATTCAGGAAGGCGGCCGTCACTGCAGGCTGTACACTTTGTCCTCTGTGGATGGGACTAGGTCCTTATTCCTGCCGATTCTCACATCCTCAGATGTAAAATGGGAACCTCCTTTCCTGTAACGTTTCTGGGCTTGATTTGTTGTAGCTCCTTGAGCCATGGTAATCACCTTTAAGTTTGCTGGGAGCAGTTACTTTCTTTTTTATAAATAAATTTTATTAGTATATGTTTGCATTGCATAATGAATCTATTCACCCTGGGGTACTGGTAAATATCCATACTGCATTGTAATCCTTTTTATTTCACTACCAACCTCCATTTTCAATGTGTGGTCCCAGATGAGCACTACGGGCCCACATCTGAGCTGGTTAGAGGTGAACATTCTAGGGCTCTGCCTCAGACCCACTGCATCAGAAACTCTGCAGTGAGCCAGGCGTGGTAACCCACACCCATAGTCATTCTGGGAGGCTGAGGCAGGAAGGCCACAAATTCAGCCGAGCCTAGGCTCCTTATCGAGTTAGTGGGACCCTGTTTAAAAAATTTTAAGGGCTGGGTTGTAGTGTGCAGTGTTTTGGGTTCAAGCTCTAGTACAGGGAAAAAGAAAAAAAGGAAGGAAGGAAGGAAGGAGGGCAGGAAGGAAGGAAAAAGAAAGAGAAAGAAAGAGAAAGGAAGGAAGGAAGGAAGAAAGAAAGAAAGAAAGAAAGAAAGAAAGAAAGAAAGAAAGAAAGAAAGAAAGAAAGAAAAGGGCTGAACCCAGCAATGACAGCCTTAACAGACCTTCTTGGGAGCTTGGTGTGTCCTTCCGTGTGAGATCCAGTGGGGCAGAGCAAGGGCAGTGGGTCAGACTGCCCAGATGTGTGGCCGGCTCAGCTGTCTACTGTCTGTCCCCTTGAGCAAGCTGGTCACCTTGCCTATGCCTCAACTTCCTCATCTGCACACGGAGGATGACACAGTAGTTCCTTCCTTCCACCCTCGAGGGCTGCTGAGGATTGAATACAATCACATCCATAAGGTGCTGCAATTCCCAGGCCCCGGCCCACAGCCAGCGTGTGACAGGTGAGTGATTAGCAGCCCTACTACAGCTCTTCTACTGGGACATTTCCAGGACAAGGGTTAGGGGTGAGGCCTTGGCTCCCAGTCCTTCCTCATGTTCTGTAGCTTCTGCTCCACTACTGCTCAAACTGGTTTGAAGAAACTTGGGGAATCGAGGGTTGTGTAAAAAAAAAAAAAAAAAAGGTCTTTGCTCAGCCTTGTCATGTTGAGACATTCAGTGAGCTGCTTCAATCATGTTTGAACTGTTTATTTTTGTGGAGCATAGAGTTCAAACCAGGTTGAACTTGTCCTGTGAGCACAATCTTATTTTTAAAATGGTGTTATATTTTTCTTTCTTTTTTTTTTTAAAAAAGGAAGTTTATTGGTCTTTAAATGGCTCAAATTGCAAATATGATATATTTTTCTTAATGAAGAAATAACCAATCCCTGAGTTCAATCACTAGTACCACCTGTGTGTGCAGAGAAAAATAATTTATAAAAAGAAAAGCATACTGAGTTGGGCATGGTGGCACACACCTGTAATCCCCAATACTCAGGAGCCTGAGGCAGAAAGAATGCATGTTCTAGGCTAGCCTGGGCAATTTAGTGAGACGCTCTGTCAAAGTAAAAAAGTAAAAGGGCCAAGGACGTAGCTTAGTGGTAGACTGCTTGCTTAGCATGCAGAAGGCCCTGGGTTCTAGCCCTAGGATCAGAAAAACAAAAAGGCAATTACTGTGTAATTCCACTAATAGGAGGTACACAGAAAAGACAAATCTCATACAGACAAAAAATATAAGGGCAAACTGTATAAGGTAGCACATGCCTGTAATCCCTGTACTTGGGAGGCTGAAGCAGGATGATTGTGTGAGTTGGCTCCCAGCCCAGGCTACATAGTGAGCTCAAGGTCAGCTTAGACTACATAGGGAGACCTTTGTCTCAAAAACAAAAACAAAAAACCATGACCCATGACTCTAGGATACAGGGTCCGTGCCCTGGATGATTATTCTATATTATTGATTTTGTAATATTTCATCAAGCTATTTATTTAAGCAATTTCATACCTCTGTGTCTTTTTTTTTATTAAATTCTTTTATCGGTACATTGTAGGTATACAACACAATTACATTTCTCATTGGAATTGTACCTTTACATAATGCATCTTGGTTTTCTGTGTCATATTTCACAATAAAAGTAAACTGAGGCAATGTATAAGAATGATATACAATTAAAAATAATAAATTATGAGCCTAAAAATCTGTCCAGCAATAATCACTATCAATGATTTTGCATATTTTCTTTCTTTTCTCCCCCACATGTATCTATACCCTGTTATTCATTCAACCAATATTTCCAGAGCAGTATATTAGGTGCTGGGGTAAATCAGTTGTGCATTGTCAGAAAGCTAATTACCCTCAAACTTGGCAGTTTAGATCACCTCCTGTTTATTCTCTCACAATTTCTGTAGGTCAGGGACCTGGGCTGGCTTGACGTGGAACCTCAGATTAAGATCCCATGAGTGCGGGACTGGGGATGTAACTCAGTGGTTCTGCCACTTGCCTTGCAAGTGTTCGATCCCCGGTACCAAAAAAAATTCTCATGAGCACGAAGTCACAACGGGCCATGGTCTCACTTGAAGACTTGGGAAGGGTCCATTTCCACACTCACTGGTGTTGAACTGAGGACCTGGGTCCCTTGCTGGCTGTGGCCTGGAGCTCTCCTTTGGTTCCTCGATACCTGGGTGTCTCCACCGGGCAACTGGTCCCTCGGTTTCTGCCCTTGCAAGAGACCTAGCATCTGTTCTTACCCTACCAGTGAGAGGGACGCTGCGGTTGAAATGGAAATCATACGTTGTGGGCTGAACTGTGCCCCTGTTAATACATTGAAACTCTGATTCTCAGTTCCTCAGAATGTGATTGTACTTGGAGACCGGACCTGTAAAGAGGTGATAAAGATTAAATGAAGTCATAACAGTGGTGCCTTAATGCAATATGACTTGTGTCCTTATAAAAAGAAGAAAAAAGCCAGGTGTGGTGGTGTACACCTGTCATCTCAGCACTCCGGAGGCTGAGGCAGGAGGATCACTGTGACTTCGAGGCCTACCTGGACTACAAAGTGAGTTCAAGGCCAGCCTGAAATACATAGTGAGATCCTGTCTCAAAAAACCAAAAAGAAAAAAAAAGAGAGAGAGAGAAGTTTAGGGCTGGAGATGAGCGTGTAGCTCGGTGGTAGAGCATTTGCCTAATGTGTGAGGTCCTAGGTTTGATCCCCAGCACCAGGAAAAAGAACAGCGGAAGAGACACCAGGGATTCATGTGTCCAGAGGGAAAGACCACATAAGGACGTGGTAAGAAAGCCTGCAAACCAGAGATTTTAGAAGACACTGACCCTCCCAACACTTTCATCTCAGATTTCAGAATTGTGAGGAAAAAAAAGTGTAAGCTACCTGCGCGTGGTATTTCATTATGATGGCCTTAGCAAACGAGTGCATCAGTGCATTGGATTGCACCATGGTCTCCTTACCCACTCTTCCACTTTATGCCTTGTTAAAGCCTGAGACCTTATATTGTCCTATAGAGGCCTAAGCCATGCAGCCCCCTCTCCTCTCTCAACCTCCTTTCCTGCTCCTTTCTGCCCCCTAACCTTATTTCCTGCTCCTCTCTGCCCTGCTATTTCTGTTGGAGCCACTCAGCACCTTCCCCTTTTCTTTGAACACAGCAGCCACCTTTTTGCCTCAGGTCCTTTGCACTTTCAAGAAGCTCTGCTGAGAAGCCTTTTCCCCAGATACACACTCTTCCTCCTCTGTTTCCATTATTCCCTCATCCCGGGCATCCCATGGAAAAGAGCACCGACAACACTAATGCTGTCCTCTCTCTGGCTTCATTTTCCTTTCTAGTTCTTATGAGCCATTGAAATACTATATGTCATGCATATTTTTAAATTTTCTGCCTCCCAGGCTAAAGTGAGGTGCCGGAGCTGGTGGGCTTTTCACTGAGCAGCCTTCCATGCAGTACCTGCTCCACAGCTACTTCTTGCTGGACACAGAATTCAACAGGCAGAAAAAAAATTTAAATTTAAATGTATTTCATTATTAATGATACAGAATGCTTGGGCTGGGGATTTAGCTCAGTGGTTCTGGCGCCTGCCTCGCAAGTGCAAGGTCCCAAGTTCGATCCCTGGTACCCCCCCCCAAAAGATACAGGATGCTTTTTCCAAAAGTGTAGACATTTATATGTACTCCTTTATGTTTGGTCTACTCATGTTCTTTGGTCATATTTAAAAATTAGAGTTCAAAGACAATACTGTCTCTATGGTGCTATTCTTCTTCTCCAAATGTTATTTCCTAGCACGAGTTATATATTCTGGAGATAAACCCTCTGCTTTGTCTTGTAACATATGAAGTTTTTGTCAATAGCCTTTATGAATTCTTTGACAAAATAATTTATACATTTACGTAGTTAAATCTACTGTGAGTTCTTTCTCTGGGGTAAGCTTAGTCTGAAAGCAGTGGTTTTTAATATTCTGATGGGCTGGGGATTTAGCTCAGTGGTTTCGCTGCCTGCTGCACAAGCGCAAGGACCCAAGTTCGATTCCCAGTACCAAAAAAAAAAAAAAAAAGAAAAGAAAAGAATATTCTGTCCATTTCACAGGAAATCCCCATATCTTATTTCCAGGGACTTCGCTGATGTGCATTCATGTGACACTT